GCCAATGCAGTGAGTCACGAACTAGGGTGGGAACGGCGAGGGCACAAGCCCTAGAACCCGAATCCGTTACAATAACAAAAGGACAGACAATGAAATGTGGGATGTTGTGAAGTCGCAATTGCGAGATATAAACTCGGAATTCTGAGTTTTTAAGTTGCAATTCTGAGACTGATTCAATTCTGATTGCCTCGTTCTGAATCACAGAGCATGGTGCTGTGCATACCCTGACATTTGGTCTATTTTGTGACGAAAATTGAGGTGACATTTTACACGTGACAGTGTACATTTTACTTTATTGTAGTTTGAAATTCACTCATCAATGCTGATTCTTTGGAACGCTGAAATATAAAAATAGGGTTGCAGTTCCCCTTTAAGGAGATTCTGTAATTGATTTTTAAAAATCAATTCCAGTGTGGTTCAACATTATTAGAATATGGAGTACAGTACTGCTTGAATAGTACTTGAAGATTTTCTCAGAGTGCATGGCAGTGGAAATCATAGAAATTATTTAGATTGTGTTGCCAAAGTACCCATGTTTTTTGTACACTAGGCAGTAATCACCAGAGGTGGCTGGAGTTTGCTAATCAAGTTAAGGAAATATATGCCTTTGTAGACTATATTAATGATTATTTTTAGTGTATGTCCAATCAGTGAGTTGTGACCATGTTAGTCAATAACGGTTTCCTTAATGAATATCAACTACACTGTTACAAAATTAGAAACATCTCCATTTTTTAATTAAAGGCCTAATTTTTGAATAACACATTCAAATGAACTGTCAACTAGAGTAAAGAGTCTTTACTCTGCAAAGTATATATAGCGGGCCTTCTGCAATCTCTAATCATGCTTGATTATGATGGCAGTTTTGCTAAGCCATTACTTGGTGTCTGTAGTGTTGTCTTTGAAGGATTTGTATAGATCATTTGCTTAGACGAAAAAAACATGTCAGGGGCAACTCTTGTTTTTCCTGGTTTGTTGCCAAGAGTTATTTCAGTCACATACAATTATGTGACTTAAAGTTTTATATATGAAGTACTTAAAAAGACGGAAATATATTATATTGTTTTTCCCAAATGTTAAAAAACCCAAAAAAGTAAAACAAACGCCAAGAAACACGTGTTTCATTTTTCCAGATGTTGATATTCAGGGTAAAATGGCAAAGAGTGTGACTACAAATATGTCATAGAAACAGACTGTAGTACATGACTGAAGTTTTTTATGGGTAATACATGCTTAGTAATGTAGTATTATTTAATACTCTTGTCTTAAATGGTATAAACATTAAACTTTTGCTTAAAGAATACATATTTTACACATTCAATTCAAATAAGAAGTGGTTCTAGTTCAGGTGGTTTAATTATTATAGTAGCTAACAACCCACACACAGTGGAACGTTCAATGAGTGATATGATTAACTATTATCAGCCTGGCGACAGAGGTGTGTATCAGAATATTCAACAGCTGAATCCTTGGGTTGATATATAGGTACCAAGAGCCCACTGGTGCTCTGTTGTGTCCTTCGTGGGACATGACTCTTATCATTTTTGTACTTCCAAGCACATCTTATTTTTAAATATTGACTGATAATCTGGGGCCTGTCTAAGTATTGTACAATTCACATCATAGTTGTATACTCTGCATTCTACAAAATGTTTAATTGTTACGATGTTAGACATATTCTGTAATTTGTATCTTTCTGGTTGTTATCGTTGGAGCAGGACTTCAGATAGTTGTGACTGCAATACAGAATGCTGTTTTGATTAACTACTCTTGGAGAGGTTTTTTTAGACATTGGGATACTACCATTACAGTATGGCATGTGATGTTTTATTGATTAAAGCTGTTACATAGATTCTTCTCTTGCCATGAATGGACACAGGTTCAAATGTGGGAAGTGAAACACCCAAAACTGCCGGGGAAACAGTCTCTTGTTTGAATCTGCTGGACGTGGAAAGGAAGTGTTTGGAAGTACATCTATTGCTCTGCAGTGATGCCCATCTCACACTGTCACAGTCCATGTCTTGTGTGCTTCTGTTACAGTTGGGACAGCTCTGACGATTCTCATCACAGTTACGGCAGTGGCAGCCCTACTTGTTCTGTGCCTGTGCATATGTCTGTGGAGATGCTTCTTACGCAAAGACGATGGTAAGTGCCTGTCTGAGATTTTCTTTTTCAGGTCATTAGGTCTTGATCTGAAATGTTGCAGGTTTTAAGTGTCCTCTTTTATTGTATCTATTTGGCAATGCAGCGGGAGGCTCGGTAGTGCTTGTTTCAGAGGAAGGTGTATGCTGTGATTATTTCTCCAGCAGCAGTTAAATATCATAGGAATAAACCAGGCTGATTGGTAACTAAATTCTTTTGACAAAGAACCACATTTTCGGTGTTTTGAGAGGCTTCACCCATTAAAGGCACTGGCTCTCAGTGAAGATTGAGCTATATTATCCAGTAATGGCAGGCTCGTGCCTGGGTCACATCACTACCCGGCAGTGACGTGGGTTCTGTAAGTGGCACATCCTGTGACATGTCAACATTTGATTGGCTTAAAAGGTGCCATAAGTTAAGACTTAAAATCTTATCAGTTTCAAATTAGATGGTTATATAACAAACTAATTGTTAAAAGCACAGATTCATAAAAAAACACATTTATATTTTGTCTGTCTAGATATTTCATCAAACTGTGTTTTCAGGTTTTCTGTTTAATTACTTTTACATTGTGTTGAATAAAATATGCTATCCTGGGACTCAAAATAGCATTTATAAAGATGGAGTAGTTGCAACTGCTTAAGGAGCTCATAGTTTGTCTGAAGGATTCAGTTGATGGTTCATGATTGAGGAAGTATAAATAAGAAACTATATTAGTGAAAGAAATTATATTAGTGAAAGTTGTAAATAATTGTTTCCTTTATCCACTTATCTTGGCTTTATGCAGGGGAATGTTGTGTTGCAGTTCACCTACTCTTTGTAAGCCCTTTGAGAATCATAAATTTGAATTTCCATCAAATGAAATACATTAACTTAGTTTATTAGCTATTGGCAGGTCTTCCTCACTTCCTCTTTAAGACATACCGCTTCAGTGAATTTCCATCAACAATCCATGTGGGATTTAAAGCCTTTTATCTTTGTTGCTATGTGTAGAGAACATCTCCAATAACAAAGGGTGTAACTGATTTGGAACAAAAAAACTATTTGAAATGGCTAAGAATGAATTCACATCTTTCATTTTCATGCCATATAACAAAAAGGTAATCTGCCTCCGGTCAGAGAAATCAAGCTCCACAGAGACAGGAAACCCCTTGGCTACAAGAACGTGAGGCCAAAAGGCCTGACCTGTGAAGCAGTAAACATGTAGTGAAAGGGGTAGAAGCAGGAAACAGAAACTCCAGCCCAGTTCCTTTGCCTGTCTTAATGATTTGTTGCTCCATCTTCACCCTTCTCTATGTTTTGAATGGGACTGATAAAGAAAACACTGCCGCAGGAACACCCATTGCAGCCCATGGGCACCTTTTTAATCTTTTGTCTTTTTTTACGTAGTGAGTGTGAAACCTTCAGGTCTCTTTCTCGAGCAACCAATATAAATTAGGTAATGACAACAAGAAACAGCAATTCAACAGGAAAATAAGGGAATGTTCTGGAGCACAAACTGGGATCCGTGATCGAGGTACTGCGGGTCCGGGCCGTGGTCACAGTGCTGCCAAGCCATGACTTGGATTCTCCCGCTGGCCCTCTGCTGACTTTGGGAGATGCTTTGGGATTAGGAGGCAGGGCTCTCTGGGTTACTGGAGATGCAGCAACTCCTGCAGGCAACGCCGCCCTTGTGGTGCTGCTGGTGAAGGACACACCTCTTTCCCCACAATCAGCCATCACTGAACCTCCTGGAAAGGCCTGAATTAGGAATGAACACTTGGGAAACAGGACAACTCCCAGCTCATGCCATTTCTTTTCTTTATGTGCACAGCTGGGTGATGAGCTCTTCCTTCCCAGGATGCATTGCTCACTTCCCTTCACCTCCTGCAGCCCACCCTTGTGCTGTCACGCCCTCATGAGGGAGTGCTGACTGACCTGCACCTTGCACAGCCAAGCATCAAAGCCAAGGAATGACTGAATTCTTCTCATAGCTACTGAACCACCACTAATATACAGATAAGGGATATGGGGTATTGTCTATATGCGATGAATCGTAATGATTGATTTTGGGTGAATTCGAGTTTTTAGACAATTGTTTTTTTTTATTTTCTTACATGCAGAGGGCACTTTTTGTGGGCACTTTTTTGAAAATTGTGTTTTTAGCTTTCTGCCTTTTTTTACCAAGTGAGATGTTGTAGTGCCTCATATTCTCTCTTTTTGACATTCTGCTGAATTAAAACAATTGAACCTGGCTCGAAAGAGTAAGCAATGTTTCATTGATAAAATAGAAATAAGTGTGGATCTGTAGTGAAAAGAGTAAGATGCTTACTTAATTAAGCCTGTTACTATACCAGACATTACTATACAAATCAATGACAGACAAATCCATTTGTGCAGTGAAGACTTGCAGGCCTCCTGTACTCTCCAGTGATACAAAGACCACACAAAACCAGGTGCACAAATTAATTTATACTGGAGTCTTGTTGGCTAATATGAATTGAGACTCTTTCATTAAGACATTTCTTAGAAAGTGGTTATAACAGCAAACATGAATGTTCTTATTAGGAAACAGCTGTGATTTTATGGATTTGTCTATAATGTGTTTAAACTGGCTCAGGGCCACCTTTCTTACCACTGAAGTAAAGGCATCAAATATGAATTAGTGATAATTGCTGCTTATGAAATTAAGTGAAGGAGCACAGACATGAGCTAATCACAACACTCTAATTTGAAGTGTTTTGTGGTTCAACACAGTGTTGAGTGCTTCTGTCTCCTCAGGCGGCTACCACAGAAAAGCACATTTACTGGAGTAGCTTTCAAAGGCTTCTTGTAATTGAAAACACAGGAAATCCTTAAAATATCCCTGAGTTATAATAATTATTATTATTGTTCCCATTTATTTTTAAATCAGCTTCACTCAGTGAATTTATTATTTAGTAATAAATAAGCTTCAAATGTTGCTGTTCAAAGGGTTATTTTCCACATCCACAGTGCTGACATTTTCATGCCCACATGTGGAGTCTGTCCTTTGTGACAGAGCACAGTAGGTCTGGGGCACAGGTAGTTCGAATGCCCACTGTTAGCTGAAAAGAAACGTTGCCTGAGACTGAAGAACAGGCTCCTGTCATAAAGGACTGCGTACCTTTGTTTCTCACACAGTGCCACTGGAAGAGGCTGCCACACAGAGCTCGATGAGCACAGGGTGTAGGTCCACGTCCGACAAGACTGAAGCCCTTGAAATGTTTTACTACTAAGTCTTAACAAGTTCTGACAAAGTTTACCCCTGTTTGGCAATGCTCCCATTTAAATATAATTATACCTTTTCTTTACAAGAATCTATATTTACAGACATATATTTTGTTAGTAAGTGAGCTGGCAGGAAGCTGCTCAGGATGAAGTCAGTTTTGGGTAAAAACCTGATGAACAATAATAGCAACAGTAGCAGAAATTATTAATTAAGAAATTAATTTCAGAAGAGGGAGTCTGCCACCTGCGGTAGTCTGACTCAAACAGGCACGCCAGTCTTCCTCTCTGTGTCCTCTCGAAACCTGAAATCCTTTGAGTGATTCAGTGATGGGCATCTTAAAAGTCTGCTCAAACAGCCTTCTCAATAGATCCCAGTATTTATTATTATTCTTATTACCTGTCTGATTATGTTATTCAGCAGAACTTACATAGAAATTTATCATTTTTCTAGAGCAGTTGAGGTGAAGAAGATTGCTCAAAGGTACAACAACAGTGCTCAACCGCAGGTTTCAAACCCAAAACCTTCCAGGTTTATGTCTAGTTTTAAGAGTCTCTGTTCTTCACTTTCTCAGTGGAGCCCTTTCCAGTAGCTGGAGATGTTACACACTTCCAAAATAGAAAAGGAGTGGCAATGTTGACTGATCTTACCGCACAGTGAACTTTGTAATCGCAGAAATATGGGAAAATGTACACTTGCATTGACAAAAGACCCACTGACTAACATCCACCACATTTAGAGTTTACTTTTGAATTCTCAAGACTTGATTTCACATTTTCTCTTTTGTTTTTTTTAATTTCAGCAGACGAAAGAAATGGTAAAACAAATATTTAGGTTTCAATCCTTTTGGTTTTTGAAATTTAATTAGAAGACAGGGTAAAACAAACATTGCAGTTTCAAGAGCTATCATTGTGCTATTAAAGTCCAGATTATAAGAAGACTTGCAAACTGCACGCATGGAATCCTGTGGAGACACATCGTCAAGTCTTGTGCAGGCTGTTAATTTACAAGTGGGTTGAAGTTAAAAGTATGTCTTGCCATAAAAGAACCTCAAAAATACTTTTTTTCCCCTCCGGTTTATGTTAAATATGTAATGCGTTACGGTTAACAAACAGAATGAGCAATCAGACTTCCGAAAGGAAGAGGAAGTAAAGGTTGTTTAGTAAATGTGGCCTAGAAGAACTGAAGATTTTTTGGTGCACTTGCGTGTGCATTTCTTTTTAGTAAACGGAACAATAACACATTGGTACCATTTGTTAAACTTTACCATTCATGGGATAAATTTACAGTTTGTGTGCATAGAAATGTTATATTCTTGTTCCTGTTGGCGCCAGCAGCCAAATCACCCTGCAACTCACAGCTGGTAACCCACTGAAACTCAGCAGGTGTGAGCCTGGTCAGTACCTGGATTGGAGACCTCCTGGGAAAAACTAAGGTTGCTGCTGGAAGAGGTGTTAGCGGGGAAAGTAGGGGGTGCTCACCCTGCAGTCTGTGTGGGTCATAATGCCCCAGTATAGTGACGGGGACACTATACTGTAAATAAGGTGCTGTCCTTCGAATGAGATGTCAAACCGAGGTCCTGACTCTCTGTGGTCATTTAAAAATCCCAGGGTGTTTCTTGAATTTCCCGAAATTTCCCATTGGCCTTTACCAATCATGGTCTCGTAATAATCCACATCTATGAACTGGCTTCACCACTCTGTCCTCCTCCCCACTGATAGCTGGTGTGGGGTGAGAGAACTGGTGCATTATTGCTGCTGTCACATCATCCAGGTGG